ACAGGGATTGATGCCAGCAAGTTTCAAAGTTAGAACTGTGGCTCGCGATGATAATACTTTTGAAGAGGTTCTCGATCCTGATTTTGGCGAGTCGGCCATTGGCCGTGTGGCCCCTGTAGACTCTGGTACACGTGCACCTTTTCTTTCTCTCCACAATAAAAATATAGTCCGCCTATGCCAAAATTTCACCTCAATTTTCACAAATTAGTTTGTGATGATCTTGATTTAATGCATAGGACTTTGGTGGATTATCTTGTTGCGAGCTTATGGGAAACTTACGGGCGATTACTCATTACAAGAAAGGGTCGATGTCCAGACAGGAATGAAACTGATACTTAACCTCTGTTTGTCTGATGGGTTTGACATGTTTCCCTCTCTACTTGTCACGGATGGGTCATGCATGATAGATCGGCGTATGGGCATTCATGGTCATCCACTTGAGATTCAGGTATTTTTCTGGAAACTATGTTTTTCGGCTTTTCAGCGTCATTTTCTGGTGGGGTTTTCAGTCAATAGAAATTTGTTGATCAGCTAGTTTCCCTTGTGAAAAATATATCTTAAAGGGATCTCTTATGTTGTGTCCGTTAGTGTGGTTTTTGAGATGTTAATGCTTTGTTATTTACATTTTTATTGTTGTATTCAGTCTGTTTTCTGTTTTACTGAAGTGGATCAAGTGGTAGGCATAGTCCATTAGTTCTCATGCTCTCATATTAGTTGGTGAAATAAGATTTGGATATCTTGCTCGTCAAAGAAGTTTATGTACGTACCTTATGAACAAATAAATGAACAGATCCAAAACGCAAATTAAGATTGAGAGTGACTTTCTTTTTTCTTTATCTTTACAGTCCTTATTCTACTCGGCCCTTAGATGTTCACGTGAGATGCTTACAGTTGATGACGGATCCAAGAATTTAGTGAGGGCCATTAACAACAGGCTTAGTGCATTGTCCTTTCACATACGAGAATACTATTGGGTTGACCTCAAAAAAATCAATGAAATCTACCGTTATAAGACTGAGGAATATTCAACCGAAGCCACTAACAAGTTCAATATCTACCCCGAACAAATTCCTGACTGGCTTATGCATTGGATTCCTGAGGAAGGAGGCTATCTCATTGGAAATTTGCAGCCAGCTCATATGGATTTTAGGTTCTTCACTCTTGGGAACCTATGGTCAATAGTATCATCTTTGGGGACCCCAAAACAAAATGAAGCTATATTAAACTTGATTGAGGCCAAGTGGGACGATCTGATTGGTCAGATGCCTCTTAAAATTTGCTACCCGGCTTTGGTGGGGGAAGAGTGGCGAATAATCACGGGATCTGATCCGAAGAATACGTGAGTTTTTTATTCGGCCTTTTTCCAGTTTTGTGGGTTTTGTGTGGAATTGCAATTGTATTTGTTGTTAGTGCATAGAGATAACTGTACTTCAGGTGATCTCTAACTGAAATTAAATTTTGTTTGATGATTTTTGGTTGCAGACCTTGGTCGTATCATAATGGTGGGTCGTGGCCAACGCTTTTGTGGCAGGTAAAATGCGTGAGTTGTTTTTGGTTTGTAGATTTCTGGATGTTTTCATAATTAGACCACATTTTTTTTTTTTCGTTTGTCTGTTTTTTATTTTGTTCATTCGTGATAATTTGGACAATGGCTTTCCACATGAGTTGGTCCTTTCTCAGAAAAATTTGAACTCCATAAGAACGCAGCCGGGGTGCTTGGAGAGTTTTTTGTTGTTCAAAATGTTTACCTATCAGGATTAGAGTAATTCGATAAAACTGCCTGAGGTTTTAGTCTAACTAAAGGATCCATCTTTCCTTTGTAATCACTACAATCTCCGGTAAGGTTGAATGAACATCTTTATTAGGCCTGAATATAGCAAAAACGTACATTCTTGTATGAGCATTTATTGAGGGTGCAATTTCTGCATATAAACACCAAATGGTATTTCATATTTCGAAGTTGGGGTTTGTATGGACTACGTTTTTTAGGTAATCTGATAAACTTGGAGCTTCATTTTACTCCTGCAGTTCACGTTGGCATGCATGAAAATGGGTCGTATTGATTTAGCCGAGAAGGCCATCAATCTGGCCCAAAAAAGACTTCCTGCCGATAAATGGCCAGAATATTATGACACATGTAATGGCAAGTTTATAGGAAAGCAGGCTCGTCTCTACCAGACATGGTCAATTGCTGGATT